CCCCCCCCCCCTTCGGACGTCCATTTTCACCAAGGCTACGCCAAATTAACAATATCAGTTTCTTTATGAGGTGACAAAGAATATGTTTTTGAGGGGAGAATTGGTCTACTGGCACAATGGGAGCAAAGAATGTGAAGCAAATTGAGAAAACAGCACAATTTTTGCCTAATTTCTCGGTTTTTGTACAGTTAAAATCGGACGTCCGGACACCCTATTACCCCCCTCTCCCTGTCGTCCATCAGCGTCCGTTTTCGGTGACCCCCCCCCCCCCCCCCTCCGACGAAGTACGTACTTTATGGATGGTCCCTAGGCTGCTGTGCACAGGCAACGCCATCCATCGGCAATCCGAGGCAGAGCGTACAAAGGGTTGCCTGCGCGCCAAGGTGCCAGTGTCGAATCGGTTAAACAAGTGACGCGACCCGTCACACATGCGTGCACTGCGGGGTGGCTTCTCTGAGTCTCGCAGGCGTCGAGCTCGAGAGGGCACCAACTTCGAGTATTAATGGTCCACGAGAGATATTCAGTCGATATGTTCAGTGATTATTCAGTGATATTCACTATTTGAGTTTCACAGCACACGAAATTTCGGAGTTGATGTTCCCTCGGTGTAGCTCTCGTAGTTTGCCCGATGCCTCTGAGAAATACGGACGTACTTTCTAGATGATCTAAGAACAGCAAGTATTATTGTTTTCGCTTGCCCCATCCCCCCATCCCCCAACCTTCTCACATCACTATATGTACAGACATTAGTGATTACAAAATGAAAGTTCTCTAATGTGATGAGTGCTACAAAAGTAGTGTCTCCAAAAAAACAAGAAGAATGATTAAAAACAAAGAATTTCACGGCAAACGCATCAACGTTTCTTCAGGGCAGGGCTAGAGTTGGAATAATTACATTGCTAAACGCTGAACGTAAAAGCCTTTTGCACTCGGCTCAGCCTATTAGCGCACTGACGGTTTTATTCACGGCACATTTCCTGATTAACGATCTCTCTCTTCTTTTTTTTCCTTCCGTCATTATTTTTCATTAGCATTCTTTTTAAAAGTCACCTGGCCCTATAGGCGCGCGACCGTAAGCGGGGAGCAGCAGCAGCAGGCCGCCAGGCCGACTCTCGCCGCCTGTAAAGGGCCCCGTATGAGTTGGCGGCCCCGCCACCTCTTCCGGTCCATTTGCTCTTTCAATATATTCATGAGAGGCAGTCCAGACCCCCTCTCACCCCCTC